TTTTCTGTGTTTGCGTACCTTGTGCTCAGCTCACTGCTGTTACTCAGTAGGTCACATAGAGAAAGTGCCTTCCACATTACACTGACAGTACTCTCCTATTTACACACTAGAGCTAATTTGTATTACTTCTCAGCCTTTTGGCTAAGATCAAGTATAGGGCTAATCTGTATTATGGATACAATATACTGTACTTCCTTTATTATCTTTTCCGTCAAAGCCACTACCACATATAAGACATTTAATAATATTTTTGAATTGAAATAAATACAAAAGTGAGTATAAATAAGTGCGGAACAAATGAGGTAATCGGAAAGGTGAGATATTTTGGGGAAGATTCCGTGAAAAAGGAATTCTGTGATTTTAGAAGACTCAAAGACAAAGCTATTTGAAGCAGAAGAGCTCACACATAGGTAATAAAAAAGGCTTTGTGGGAGTGGGGCAGGCAGAGTCGAAGATAAATAAATAAGATACAGTGCCAGTTCAGCTTGGCTAAAAGCAGTAAACACACACAGGATAACAATTACGGGAATGAGGTCATCCTCTAGGATGTGTCATCTGCTGACCTGAAGGGCAGGCCAAAAAATTAAACTCCAAATGAAGCAAGTTCAAACTTTTTGATACAACTGATAAACACTATTAGATTTTGAGGTCATTAAATAACAAATACAGCACAAGCTTCATGGGAAAAAAATGTTCTGAAATATTAAGTGGAAAAAAACCCCAGCCGCTATGACACTGAAAAATATAAAAATAAAATTGTAAAATAACCAACTTAGGGTAGTGAAGTGGTTATGTGTGATTGTGATTTAACACATTTCCCTTTGATTGAGGCAATTATTTAAAATTCAAAAAATAATTTTTAAAAAAGGCACAGGCACAAACTGTTGAAAGAAATGTCTCAACTCTACTTAGAGCCAACTTTAAGCCAGCCAAACATTTAGCATGATGAAACATTTCAATGGCCCCTGGGAAGACAGGACCCCACCAACTTCTCCATTACCTGCACCAATAACTTAGTCCTAATCTGCCTCGGGCAGGGAAAACAGGGTTCTTTTCCCCTCTTTCCAAATTCATCAGGGTAAACTTTCAGAATCTTTGATAACAGTTTTAAAAAAGATGTAATAATTCAAGTTATAGGAAGAAACCAGAACCCAGAGAACTCACCTTTCGAAGGATATTCAGTCGATACTTTAATTTTAAATTTTCTTCCTGCAACTGCTCCAAATTTGGAGAAGCTTCTAAACAGCCACAGTTTTTCAACCGATCAATTTCAGCAGTCAGAGACTTAATTTCTTTTTCCTATGAAAGAAAAGGCACTTTGTTCAGCTCAGTATGACTGAAGACTTCATGATCTAATAAACTGTACCATAAAGTTCTTCGTTTCCTCTCTCCACCAGGGCATGGCAAAGGTGATTGGAATGAACTTTCACTTCCTCAAGGTCTTTGATATCGTCAGCATACTACCCTTGATAATATGAAAAACTTAAGTATGTTGGGGCAGAGGAACAGGAGTGTTAAGCACACGATGGGACAAGCCTCATATCCCTAGTTTCTTTCCTTGGCTTAAATGTTTGCCTTTTGTCCTTTGTGCGACAAAACTATTTCCCCATTTTCCCCCCTTTGTTTCCAGTGTCTTAGGTCCTCTACCAGGCTTTTAACTAAAAACTTAAAGATATGCTAATTCAGAAAGTAAAGCTTCCCACCTTATTGTATTACTGAGGGAGGCCTCACGTGAAACTGCAGAATGTTTACCAGGACATAAATACAGCCCCCCAAAAGTTTACATAAATAAATATACATTATGTTCCAGATGTTGGGCTAAACACTTCAGAAATGATCTCTGTAACTTTTACCCTAACTTAGTGAAAAGTTACTTGTATCTACACACTGATAACATACACTCAGAACAGTAAAGAATTTGCCAATTTCCTTGAGCAACTTGTACTCTGTGACTCCTGATTCAGTACTATAAAGCAGTTCCTTTGATAAGAGTCCTTAAATTACTTTCGTTTCTCCCTTCCCTGAGTATAAAATGTAAAGGAATTGTTGCACTTTCACTTTTAAGTTGTAACTGCGAAGGCGGAGGGCCAACTTCTGTTTGATAATGAACCACTCCATGGGCTTTTTAGAATTACTCTTGCTCAGCATCATGAAGAGAACGGTGGCCGAGCCGCACACCAGGGCCCAGGGCTCCTGCTCTCATCCCCCTTCCCTCTTTGCCTGTCCCTCCGCATCCCGCCAGCGCGTGCGTGCGCGCGGGGCAGAAAGAGCACGGTGGCGAGACTGTACTGATCACGCAAGGCTCCAGCCCACCGCAGATGCCGGTCTGGGGTGGGGGGTTGAGAGGGCGGGACCCTGTGCTCCGCTGAACCTCAGTGTCACATGGGCCCAGGACCGAGGGGTTCTTCCTCTCCCACCCCTGGGAAAGGGCTCCTGGGCGGGCGTTCGCCTCTGAGGCAGCGGGGCCTGGGTCTCGGGACCCCTCTGTCCGCGTCGGAGAGAACGGGGCGACCCCCGCCTCCCTGCCGCCGCCCCGACGCTGCTCGGGCGGGCCCCGGGGCCTGGTCCCTCCCCTCCAAGCCATTCCACTGGCCCCCATGCGGTCTGACCTGCTGCTGCAGCCGCGCGGAGCACTGAGCAACCAGCCCGGCCATCCTCCTGTCAGCGCCTCACGCAACAAGTGGCCGGAAGCGGAAATGGCCGGCCCTAAACCGGAAGCGGAAGCCCTCCCCTCTCGCTGTTTGGAGGCCGACTGGGTGCTGTCGCCCGGGAGGCGCTTCGGGGAGACCATGCAGGGAAGTCGGCCGGGATGCGGGCGAGGGCAGAAGGTTGAGGGTGGTGGGGGTGGGGATCGGACCAGAGCTGCTCTGTGCTTGGACTGACTTGGATAGAGGGTACTGACCTAGAACCTCTGTGAAATGGGCACAGAACTAACGAAATCTGTTTATTCAACAAGCATTGATTGTGCACGTTAATATACCAGACACGATTTCAGGCGCTTGAACACAAGCTGGAAACAAGTTGGACAAGGGCCCCGCTATCACGGAGGTTACATTTTAGAGTGAAGAGATACACTAGACAAAAAAAGTAAATAATCAATCTCACATAGTTTTAATGTTCAGGAAGAAATGTGGTGGAGTGACTTGGGTCAGGGAAGCCCTCTCTGAGCGGGTGACATTTGAGTTAAAATTGTTTTAACTGCTGACCTGAGATACCATTTGAGAGGATGGGGGCCTTAACTGTCTTGTTCACTCCTCCTTAGACCCCCCGGTACTTTAAAGCAGCCGTCTCTCAACATTTCCACTTCTGTGCCCCATGAAAGAATTTTTAAAATTAGAACTCGTGTAGATTTTTTAAAGTTGACATCTGAAAATTCTTGCCACAACTTTATATAGAGGTAACGGATGCTTTTCTGGCATGTGGCTTCTTGTGTATGTGCTCTCATGTATTTCATCAAAACTGTGAAGCTGCAAATTTAGCTCATCCAACTTATGGAAAATGCCCACCATATGAATTGGCAAAGCTAGTTCTCTGTCAGATCAAATAATCCAAATCGTATTAACTTAATTTAAAAAAAAAACTTTGCCTTTATTTTAATCTTTTAAACCAAATAAAAGTCTTCATATATGTCCCTGTCATCTCATTTCTAAATTTTGAGAGTAAGATGGATAGAGGGATGGACGAGTTGCTGGATGGACAAATTGATGGACAGATCTCCACCTTCCAGATAATGCAGGAAGTAAGGATCATCTTCTTACTAAGCTCCCTTTGCTTGGTGCTCAAGGAGTCACCCTCAGGAGAAATACACTCTTGGAGTAACTTGTTCAGTTCTTGTTTATACCAAGGGGCAATGGAAGAGGTGTTAGGCCTTTCCTTGTGGAATGTAAAAAGAGAATTGGGTAACTGAGTTTGCAGGCAAATCAATTTTAGGAGTATACAAAAATTCAGGATCAGGAAATGCTCCTAACTTTTCCAGGCCTGCAGACCCCTTAGAGTATCTTGCTATACCCTGGGGGGCTTATAGCCCAGCTTGGAAAACCCTTCACCCAGAGCACAGCTGTGCTCAAAAACTGTTTAATTGAATGAATACAAGAAGGGTTCTAGGCAGAGAGGGAGCAAAAGCAAATTGCCTAAGGCAAAAACTAAATTTATTTGAAAACGGGGCGGACTGGGTATGGGCAGTGGTGGAGAGACTGGGAAAGGTGAAGCCTTCAGTACTCCCGTTCCACCCAGAATTTTCCTTTGTCCTGATTAATAGTGACAAAGGAGAAGGGAGTAAACTCATCTGAGACAGACATTTAATCTCATTTCATTCATCTCATGGATATTTTTTAAGGACCCATTAGTTGTCAGATCCAACAGAAAACAAGACAAGTTCCCTACTTTAAGATCTTTCAGTATCGAGGGCAGAGACAAGACTAGGGAACTGTGCTCTGAAGCCAGCAAATCAGTGTGCCAGGGTGACTTGTGGGAAGGTAAGTCGGATGGGGCAGCCCAGGGTCAGTGGAGAGGGTTCTCCAAGCGGGTAAGGCTTGAGCTGAGATCTGAATAGTGATAAAGAGAAGACAGTCTCAAGGTGGGATGAAGACACAGCGTACCAGGTAGAAGGAACTAGAATCGCAAATGCTCAGTGGTGGGAATGAAAGACCTTCACATAGCCGAATGTGATTAGCAGTAAGCTGGACAACTCTTACATGTCAGCCTTCTCAGAGGCAGGAAGCACAAAGACCAGCAGTGTGCACATTGCAAAAGATTTGTAGTCAAAAGGCAACTGTTGGTTTTATGAACGGGACGATCAGATTCATTGAGTTCTGCTTTTTTCAGGCTAGTATCCTAGTCGCTCCCTTTCTCCATGCCTTCATGCAGAGAAACCACAGGATTTCATGACTTTATTCCTGAAAACCAAATGTTCAAAGTCCCTTCAAGTATGGCCTCATGTAATCACACTTCTGTCAAACAGAAACCAAAGTTGAAAGAACATGAATTCCAGAGTCCAAAGGTCGGGTTCGCATCCTAGGTCTGGCCATTTATTAATCTGAGTGATCTTGAGCAGGTCATTTCACAATTCTAAGACCTTGTTTTCTGAAAATTTTGGAGAACACATGCACACAATTATGAGTGGAAGTTTATTTATTCTTCAATTTCTCACCAGGCAAACAACAACGGGATGTACTGGTGGCTGGGCAGTGACTGTTTATAGGTATAGGGAATTCGATGCCACGGCAGACGGAGGGCCTTCCCCTTCTGAAGGGGTGGCCTCGTTCTCCCTAGGAATGCTCCATCAGCTGAAGAGACACTGAGACACACTTCTTGGGTAGGAGGATGTGCTTGCTCCATGTAGCTTTCCCCCTAACACAAGCAGGTCCTTTAGGACTCTGCTTCACAGAAGCAGCTGCTGCGGGGACGTGAGGGGCTGACCCTTGCTGATAAAGCTGAACACGGATAAAGGTGTGACCGAGTGAAAAAATCCCATTGCACGATGGTCCAGTTTTATTGAGCACTCGACAGGATTCACTAGACAGACTATACAGATAGAGTGAGGATGCAGCTGACCTCTGGTGTCAATTAAGTCAGACCCCAAGGATACCATTCTCTCCCCACTTCTGCTTTTCTCTGTGGGGTTGGCCCCAGAAGCTAGAACCTTGGTTACAGGTGGCTTTAGGAAGAGAAAAATCTAGTCTCTAACCTTCAGGTGAAAATTGTAGAAGAGGTCAGACTGGTCCAACTGGGGTCCCATGCCTATCCTTGGTAGCCAATGGGATGGGTCACTCTGTCTGGCTTGAATCATCTGCTCCATCACTGCTGCCAGCACACTTAACAGAAGGGCAGGGTCTTCGAGGACGGCAGCTGTCTCAAAGCTCTGAGCCATGCAGATATCAGAGCCCATAGGAACAGCGTGAAACAATGTTTTGCTTCGGGATGTATTGAAATTGATTGGGGACTCTGATACTCATTTGAAGAAACTGCAAAGCTAACCCTCAATGTATGGGATGTTATTTCACAAAAGAGAGTGCGTGCATTGGACACCGGCGTGTTCGGAGATGTGACACCCTGGGGAAAGAAGCCCCAGCTGGTGGTGAGAAACTGGACTGGACAGTTGGAGGGAGGCCTGGCTATCAAAAGCCCTGGAAGCCACATGGGGAATAATGGTGGATTCTATGCCACTGTAGGTTCCTTCTACATAAGGAGAAACAGCCAGGTAAGGAATGTAGTGGGGAGGCGAGGGACAGCCTGGGCTTCACTCGCATGATAGTTGGTCCGTCCAACTGCAGCGTGCATAAGACTGACCGTGAGCGCATGGATAAAAGCCGGTCTCTGGGCCCGTCCCAGTTGGGGGAGGGTCCAGGAGTCTGTATTTTTAACAAGCTGCCCCCAGTGATTCTGATGTGACTGGTGGTGCAACATACTCTGAGGAAAATTGTACAGAATAATGTCAGAGGAAGGAAGGAAGAAGAGATTGCGCTCCTTGTTTAAGGCTGACTTCCAACCGCCTGCAATAGCCCCGCTGAGCAGTCATTTCCATTTAATGAGTAAATGAGTGAAAGGCAGGCAAAGAAAACAAAACAAAAACAAAACAAAAACAAAACATCACCTGCACTGGCCTGGGGATGGGTGGGAAGGAAATGATTGGGAAGGAGAAGAGTCAAAAATCAGGGAAACAGATGAAGTGAAGGGTGGAGGAGAAAAAGAGAGAGGAAATTCGTTCAGAAAGGCCACTTTATTGATGGAGATAAAACTGAAAGGAATTTTCCACAGCCCTCCCTCACTCACTTCAGTGGCTTCACTGGCATCCGAGACCGGCGTGGGCAGGCCTGCTGCCAGCTCCGTGCTGCCCACTCCACATCAGGCGGCCACACAAAAACACATCACAGCTCATGAAGATTCACAGATGCACCCCGGAACCCCCCAAACAGTTCGTGTGCATTTAAAAAATATTGTATAAAATATGTTTAGTAGGAAAGGTCAGCTGTGCTGTGATGTCTATAGGACGTCCTTTTAGGATTACCGTCCCCAAAACATTACTTACTTATTGCAGTGAAACCTCTAGAAGGTAGAGCTGTACAAGAAAAAAAAAAAAAATCTAAACAATTTTGTTTTAAGAAGAGCAGCAACTTAACACTGCTTTAGTTCATTTAAATTTTCTTTCTCAAAAATACATTCCTAAATATACAAACTATACAATCTTGTCATTTTAATGCTGGTTTTTTTGTTTTTGTTTTTGTTTTTGTTTTTGTTTTTTTTAATAATAATAGAACCCCAACTAAAAAATCTGTTCATCTTCAAACCGACAGGAGCGCTAGAGGACTTGTGACTCAGTACCTTCATATAACACCACATAAATAACTTTAGCCACAGTCTACGTTCACAGCGTGGTCAGTGGAACAAAGGAAATACTTTTCTGGTGATTAGACGTCATCCGCAGAGAGGGCTGGGATATTCATCCGAGGCCGGGTGAAAAATGCCATTTTCTCCCTGTAAAAGAGGCCATCCCTTTAGAGCAGAGTTTCCAACTTCACCTTGTGAATATTATGGGCAGAGTAACTCTGTGGTGGGGGCTGTCCTGTGCACCCCTGGCCTCTGCCCACTAGATGTCAGTCGCAGTTCCCCCATCTTTCCTTCCGGTTGTGGCAACCAAAAATGTCCCCAGACACTGCCGAATGTCCCCAGGGGATCCGAGTCATCCCTGGTTTAGAACCAATGCTTTAGTGGACATTAGCAGGACCAGCGACCTTCAGTTCAAATCAGGGGCCTCTCTGAGTTCAAAAGGGATTTGGGCCACTTCTAGTGTTTGTTATAGATTCTCGATTGGTTAAAATACTAAGAGATGTCCAAGTTATACAAATTACAGAATATTTTAAATGTTTATGTACCACAAAGGAATGTTTCTTAGCCTTATCTGAATAGACAACAGAGTCTAAACACAAAGTTGTCTGTGAATGGGAGGCCCTCCTATGAAATGCCTGGGTCCAGTTCAGCCAGAAGGCACCTCCCTGAGATCCTGGCAGGCAGCAGGCAGAGCCAGGGAGGCCCGGCAGGCATCCATCACCCCCGACTTATTTATCATTCAGCTGATCCTCCACAATTGCTGGTGATGGAACCACTAAGAGGAACGGCCGGGGCAGGTGGCTCATTCATTAAACAAGAGACTCTAACAAATTAGCTCGAGTTGTGTGGGGACTGACACAGACAGCCAAGGGAATGCGCTGCAGAGTGCACAGACCGCCAGGGACGGCTTGGCCGAGGATGAACGTCTGTTACAGAGAGAGAGCGAGCTGGTGGTCTGCTAGGGGAGCGTGGGACAGGCAGTAGTGCAAGAAGACCGAGGCTGGGGCGGGCTGTGTGAGACAGGGAAAGGTGGGCGGGCTGGGGCCCACCTGCTTACCTGAAAGACTGTACTTCTGGGGGCTCCTTACAGCTCTGGCCACGAAGCCTGTGCACATCCTTGGCGGCCGCCCTCATCATCTTGTCCGCCTGAAGCTCACCCTTGTGCTCTGCTTGGTCCATCTGCAGGCAAAGCAAGCAAAGCGATGAGGTTGTGGGAAGTCCTTAGGGCCTCCGGAAATGGGTCAGTCAAGAAGAACTTTCTAGCACAAATGAGGAGTCTATTGTAGTCAAAAGGTCCGAGGGTCACAGAATGGGCACCTCTACTCTTCCTCTTCCACTGTGGGATCCTCTTTATTCAAAACATGAGGGGAAGCGACCCCATCATCTGTGAGAGTGGCCAGGGAACTGAATACCTCTGTGGACCTGTCAAAAGTAAAGAGATGAGGGCTGCCTGGTGAATTGTGTGCTACTTCATCTTATCCTCAGGGCCACCTAGGAAGGTAGATTTTGTAACCACCTCTGTTTTACAACTGAGGAAACTGAGGCCCAGACATGTTAAGAAACCTTTTTAACGTCAACTAAGAAGTGGTAGAAACCCAATTCAAGACATGCAACGGCGCTCAAGGCCCTCCCAATGATCTAGGCAGGCACCCTCTGTACGGTGTTCTCTGCATCTTGTCTGGCTGTGTGCGGAGGGAACTAGCAAAGGTCTGTCATTTCTGCTGAGGGTGGCAATCTGAGAGTAGCAAATGAGTCAAAGAGGGCCTTTGTTTATTGGCCCTGTGTTGTTTTCTTTTTCATGATAGTCTGGGCCCTGTTAGCTCAAAAGCCTACAGGAACCCAACTCAAATTTTCACCCATCCAATTATTTTAAATATAACTCAAACGAGCAGATTTTTAAACCATTTAGAACCTTGCTGCTTTGCATACCCCGTGAACCTGCACCCAACATCTGCTAGTCAGAGATAAGATATACCCTTAGGGCTATGAAAGACCCCAAGCTGCTTCTGCTTTGCAGCTCTCTGACTGAGAGAACCCTCCTACTGCTGCTGAGTGATGTCATCTAGGTGGGAGAGCCCCTTCTCCAACCCTCCTCTCTACCCTGTCTAGGTAGTGGCCCCAGAAAAGTTGCCTCTGGGAGGTCTCATGCTGTGAAGGACGTCTCCCACTTGTGAAAACAGCACCCCCTAATAAAACTCATCGCGTGCTATTGCCATTGCGCAGTCATCGCTTTTTCCTTGAGCAACACTGCAATCTCTCAGACCCAGGACAGGAGGGCAGGGCCATGAGCGGGCATGCATTCCCCGCATCTCAGTCGGTACAAAGCCAGGCCATGTCTGCCCCTCTCCCCTGCGTAGGTAACTGCTCTGTGCTACCACATGAGCAGGGACTAGGGCAGGTCAAGATTTACTGTTCCAGATTTGCTGTTGAAGCGTGTGCTCCAGCACACATAAGGTACCAATGTTTGATAAATGGTGAATAATGAGGGCCTGCACACGACTTAAAACGTTTACTGGGCAAAGAGGTTCCTGGATACCTCTGCTGATGGGAACGAGGGACCCACACTCTCCGTGGGCCTCAGGGCTGCAGGACCCGTTCAAAGCTCGGGCCTCGCTCCCTTGCAGCAGCGGATCATCTCCGAGCGTGGACCGCGCCGCCGCGCCTGCCTTTCGCGCCGTACTCACCCGCTTCTCCAGCATCCTCAGCAGCAGGCGGAAGCGCTCATCCTCTCGCAGTCCCTGCGGCAGCTCCTTCTCCCCATGGCTCTTGGCTTGTTCGAGCTGCTCCTTGAGCTCCTTCAGCACCGAGATCTCCTGAGTCAGTTGGCTGTGCCAGGTTCGGGTGGCCTGCAGGTCTAACTCAAGGTCCAGCGAGGTGCGCATCAGGTGCTCGTTGCGCAGGGATTTGAAGGATGACGGCTGCGGAGGTGGAGGCGGCTCTGACTGTTTAGTGAGGGGGCGGGACTAGTGAGCCCACGTGACCCCTCCAAGCCCTTCAAATACCCTCCTCCCTTCATCTGCAGGTTTCCACAACTTCGGAATGCCCCGCCCCCACCCCTGTCCCGATTACTTCCCACTTCTACAGCTCATGTTTTATTGAGCATTTTATGTCCCAGGCCCGGTGCTGGGCGCCTTACCACCGTGACCTCAGCCCCTTTTCTCAACCCTGTGAGGTCCCAGCTGTCTGGACACAGAGGTGGTTAAGCCAGCAAGATAGAAACCTGAAACTTGATCACGGTCATCTTTACCACCACATGGGGTGACCCTGTTTAAGAATTAACCTATGTGGAGAGAGCAGTGCCATGAGAGGGGGACTGAGACCCATCCATGCCTGAAACTATTCCAACATCCTGCTGTTCTCCACTAAATGAGCCAATGAACCTCCCCCTGTTCATTTTCAAGCTATATTTGAGTTCTTCAGTTATCTGTATGTAAAAGATCCCAAGTACTATAATCATTAACTCTCCTATCAAAGACCAGTAATGATTAAAAAAGAATTAAGTGACTGTGGGAGACTGAATTCTAAGCTGGCCTCCAAGATTCCCACCCTGTGACATCCAAGTCCTGAATAAATGCCCTCCCAGGTGTGGGTGGGACCTGTGGATATGATGGACTGTCACTTCTGTGATTAGGTAATTAATCAGTTGACTCTGAGTTAATCAAAAGGGAGGTCATCCTGAGTAGGCCTGGCCAATCAAGGGAGCCCTTAGGAGATGAACTAGGCCCTTCCTGAACAGAGATCTGCTGGCCTTGAAGAAACAATGTATGTTGTGAAGAGGGCCACATGGCAAGGACCCAAGAGTGACCCCCTAGGAGCTGTGAATAGCCCGGGCCTGTGGCTGGCAAGAAAATGCAAGGAATGAACCCTGCCGATGCCCTGATGGGGCCAGGATGTGACTCTCTCCCCAGTCAAAACTCCAGACAGGGATGCAGTCGGTCAACACCTAGATTCCAGCCTGGCGAGACCCTGAGCAGAGGGTCCAGCTAACCTGGGCCGGAACTCCTGACCCGCGGGGACTGTGAGATAATGAATTTATATTATTTTAAGCTGCTGAGTTTATCGTAATTTGTTATGCAGCAGCAAAAAACAAATATGATGACCAATAATGAGACTGGAAAAATGGTACTAAGACATTACTAGGAGAACTATCCTCACCAAAGGCTGACAAGTTCACTTTCAGGAACATGAAACGGCTCAATGCAGTTTTATAAGGCTCGCTAGGGTGACCGCTATCTAGTCTGTGCTTATACATGGGCAGGGTCAAGAAATCCAGCTGAGGATCTATGTGGCTCAAGTTCTCAAACCGAGAAACAAAGATTCCTTTGCTTTGCATTGACCGATGTCCAATTTAGAAACTGGCCCAAAGCAGACGAGGCATAGCTCAGGAAGTGAGTGGAAGGATGGCAGTGTCCTGGGCCCTGGCCTGGCCTCTGGATGCTCCTGTTCCTCGGAACATAGTTTAGGACCCGAGGGAAACATGGGCTCAGACCCGGCATCGGAGGCTTCCTCAGGAGGTGAAGAAGGGGGAGCTCCCGTGGGGGCTGCCTTGGAAGGGAGCTGTCGGACAGGCAGGAGCCGCAAGCGGGAGCTTCTGCAGGGGCATTTCTCCAGGAGTGGGGCATGCACACCTGCTCCAGCTGGTTCTAAATGCTGTTTCCGGGGCCCCAGCCCAGTGGCTGAATCAAACTGTCTGGGAGTGTGGCCTGGGAGCAAGCTCCCCAGGAGACCGCGGCACCAGCCAGCCACAGGAGACGGGTGGGGTGGGCAGTCCCTGTCACCTCAGGCCATGTCCACCGTCCCCCAGAGCCAGCATTTTCTCCCTTTCCTGTGACCTCTCTGCTTCATTGCTTTCTCTTGCTCACTCTGGCTCTTTCTGGAGATTTGCGGAGGTGGGGAGGGAGTGATCGACACAGGACCAACTCCCGATTCTGGCCACCAGCAGCTGGTGTGCAGGGGGCGCCGAGAAGCCCTCCCTTGCAGGGGGCTGTAGGCACGCCCTCCTTTCCCTCTGCTCTCTCTACTGCTCCTTCTGACATTCTGGCTCTGGGTTTCTCCTAGTTCTACGAACTCACCAGACTGCTATCAAGTCTGTGTAAAAAGCGCTTCGAGGGGAGGGTGTCTCTGCTTCTCCTGCAGCTCTGGCTGGTGAAAGTCCCACTCAGGAATCAGTCCTTTCCTAATGCCACCCCACCCCGATCCCTCAGTCAGTGTCCATAAGGAAAGGGGAGATTTCTCTATGGGGACAGCTGTGGTCTCTTCCCTGTGTTTCCAGCTGGACCGAGAAAAGCCCACGCACGCCTCCCTGCTTCCGGTTGGTGCTGGGGGTACCTGGCTCCTCTGCCATCAGGGAGGGTTGTCAGAGCCTTTAACCACTCAGTGTGCTGGACGGCACACTGAGCAGAGGCTTGTGTGAGGCGTGTTCCCATCAGTGACCATGAATCTTGGGTTGGTTAGTTCTCAGTGACCTGGATTTCTACCCAGGAAGGCACACTCCTGATCTAACCACTTCGTCATGACGATAAAGTTACATTTACCCTTTGGCACCTTCCCCAGAGCCTACACAGGCCTTACAGTTCACAAACTTCCATTCTCGGATACCATCGCGATCACAAGAGTGACCTTCTTAAAACCAGTGGCCGAGGAGCAAGGGTCAGACATGAGGAGATGTGCCTGGGGAAACGAGGGCGGAGCAGATGTACCAGTGGCTTCGAGCAGACAGTCTTACCCGCTTCATCCGGACGCTGCGCCTCTCCAAGGAGTTTCGAACAAAAGGTGGCTTCTTGGACAGTGTGGAGCTGTCACTGTCACTCCGATTCAGCTGCAAGAAAAAAGTCATGGAAGGTAATGAAGGTCCGAGTGCCTTCGGAAGGCACACCAGGGCCTGAAGGGTGTGGGTTCCCCCATCGGCCCAGTCCTTTCTTGTACGATCACCCAGAATTCTGTTCCCTGGGGACTGTGGGAGGCGGGTTTCATTCTGACCTTTTAGATGAATGTTTCCTGAGCATGTACCTGACACAATGTGTGCTGCTACAAGCTGTACGTGTGACATCTCACTTACTCCTTCCAACAACTGCATGTGACAGGAGCGCATTGGTAAAGTGGGGGCTTAGGGGTTATGGGACTTGCCCATGGTTGGCAAGCTGGTAGCACACAGTGGGGCTGACACCAGACAGTGTGACTCCAGAGTATACTGTCCCCTTGACCTGCCACAAAAACACCTGTTTGTATTGACTCTTGCCTGTTGTCCACAGCGCCAGCCTTTAAAGCTCAAATGGAGCCACTATCAAGATTGAGATATATCATACACACGTACACACACAAAAGCAGCCCGAGAGCAAAGCCTCCGGACAGTATCCTTGGAGAAGATGGGGCAGACAGGCTCGGCGAGGGCTCTGCTGATCGAAGCTCTCCCCTCGGAACCCCTTCGGCCATTTAGTTATTTGTACTCTCCCCAGAAAGCTAACATTCTCCACCCACAGCCAGAGATCAGGGCTGTGGTCATGGCCGATGCTTTTCTATTGAGAGCGCGTGTGTCCCCATAGGAGGACCGGAGGGGGAAGATGGGACAAGAGTGCATCCCAGGACGTGTGGGGCAGGGGCTTCTTTCTTGAGTCACATTTCCAAGTCAGTGGAATCGCCACAGGCCGATACTATAGCGCCTGTTTGTTCTGGCAGCTGTCGGCTCACTGCTGCACGTGTCTCCTGAGAAGCTGGGTGCCATCATTTCTGCCGTTATTAATAATTATTAGTGATAATGATATTGATAGTCCTGCTATGTTGATGAACACAGCAACACTCGGGACATGATGAAATGGTTACTGTGCAAGGCAGAATCTCAACCAGAACTAGAATAACAGTAACAATAATTATAGCCATGTGGACAGAGCACCTACTATGTGCCCTGTGCTTTACTAATGGTTTCATTGAATCCTCAAACAATCCTCACAAAGGGAAGGGAGGCCCAGAAAGGTTAAGACACTTTTACAAGTAGTACAGCTGGTGAGTATCAGAATCAAGAGTTCGATATCCAGTCTGACTCCAAGCCCACGTCCTCTCCTGGCACCCAGGATGCACGCAGAGCTCAGAGATGAAACTAATATTCAGATGGAGGGATTGGCCACCCTGACTGGGGTGAATTAGTATGAAAGGACAGGCTGACTATCATACCAGAAAGGGGAGTTATCCTGCATTGCTTCAATCCAAAGGTGGATGGATCCTTAAGCATTAGTCATTTATGTGTTACAGACCATGTTACAAATGAGAGATGAAAGCTACATTAAGCCCCTGAAGTTAACTTTTTCTTACATGAAATATTTCAATGCATTTGATTACAAACACGGTAGAATATATTGTTGCTTTGTTATTATTTCCATATAAGAGTAAGGGAAACTTAATACTATATTACAAAATAATTGCATATTACATAAGTATATATAAATTATATAAAATATATTATAAAATAATAAAGTCACAGAGAGCTAGCTCAGGAATGAGGATTTGGGAAAGACTGATCCGTCAGGTCAAAGCGAGCCAACCAACACCTGTAACGGCGCTGCTGCTAAACACACAGACCTTAAAGACACAGGGGTTGTGGAGACCTGTGGGAAGTGTAATACGTTGTTCCTGCCCGTATGAACTTAAAGTTCAGTGAGGGCTGAGGGACAGGAAACTAACCAAGTGACACTGGCCCTGCCAAAGACCACAGAAGGGAGACACCTAGCAGAGGGCACTGGGTGTGCAGAGCTGGAAGGGATGACTTGTATTCAGACTGGAGGAGGGCAGAGTCCTCCGGGACACACAGGCCGAGGGCTCTTGGTAGCTCCTGACCTAGAAAAAGTGCTCTCACTTTCTGAGTTTCGGTTTCTGCATCTATGAAATGGGGTTACTACTATTTGCCTTGCAGGATTGTTTGTAAGTTTAGATGACACAGAAAATAATTTTT